ATGGGGCCTACTTGGGATTTGTGCTGTCTCCCTCTTTCTCTGCTTACCCCACTTGTGCTCTCCCACTCTCTCTCTTTCCCTCTCTCACTATAAATAGACATAAGCTTTTTAAAAAATCCTAAATTGTTAAGTCCAAAATGTACATCTTCATGCCATACACTCTTCTGAGCTATATACTCCCATATCCACCTATATAACTTTACTTGACACTATCACAGACATCTCAAATTTAACATGTCCAAAATAAAACTCTCAATTTACTCTCATTAAAAAAACAAAACTATCTCTTACCCTCAATCCTCCCTATTTCAGCAAATGGCAACATCATCCACCCAATTGCTCAAATCAGGCACCGCCTAAGGATTAACTTGATTCTCTCCCACATCAATCTATCAATGATGTCTCCATTGTAATCACAAAACGTATCCTGGGGGCGCCTGAGTGGCTCAATCTGTTGAGCTCCCGACTTCAGATCAGGTCATGATCTCACGGCCCGTGAATTCGAGCCCATGTCGGGCTCTGTGTTGACAGCTCAGAGCCTGGAGCCTACTTCGGATTCTGTGTCTTCCTCCCTCTCTCTCTGGCCTTTCCCCACTCACGGTCTCTCTCTCTCTAACTCATTCTCCACTTCTCATCTTTTCCTCTGGAACAGCTTCTCCATAGAGCCACAAGAATGACTTTAAAATGTAAATCAGATCATCACACTCCACTACTTGAAACACTTCAATGGTTTTCCAGTGCAACTATCCCAAAATATAAACTCCTCATATCGCACACTGAGAATCTCTTCTGCATGTCCTCTTGCATGCGTCAGGACTCACAATAATTTCTGCCATATCATATGGTCTGAGTTAAAGAACAGGCTTTACTGGAGTAAGAGAAAACTCCTATCAACAGCAGAAATAAAAGCATGGCTCCTCTTCATCCTCCTATGATTACACGGAGCACAGTTCGGTTAGCAGCGTACTTTCGTATGCCAATGGAGGTGTCTCACCCTCCCTGCTGTTCTCACAATTCTTGTAACAACAGTGTGAAAACAACTTTGTCAGTAGGAAAACAGTCTTAGTGCCAGAAAATCTGGATTTGGGAAGCCAGCTATTTACAAGAGTTGTCTGAGAAAACAGCGGGCCGACACACGCAGACTCGGAGCCCACAGGACGTTACAGCTCCCGCTGGTGTTAGAGTCAAGTTCTGTGGCAACTGAGCTTATGCGAAGCACTTTTGGGTGGGAGAAGTGAAAGAAAGCCTTTTCCCAGCTAGCTTGTGGTCCAGACAACCTAGATTGAAGTCCTAGAGTTATTTTTTGGACTTTTCTCATTGCTATATAAAACTCCTACAAGAAGAATGGTATTTCCCAGGTTGTCTAGGACAATCCTGGCACATGCCTGTCACTCCAAGTAACTATTAACAATTCTCCCATATCAGTGCTTTACTCACTGAACCGTCAGGCCCTAGGCGCAGACCTTGACACACAGCAAAACTTCGGTAAATATATATTGAAAAAATAAGTTTTCTAAAGCAAGCTTATTTTTTTAGCTCAAGTTTTAATTTTTTTAACTGCCACTGACTCAACATTGTTTCTAAAAGTTATTTTTATTACTGGAATAGCTGTTAACTCATTTACACAGCTGTATTCCATCCTATGAGCATTTATTTACCCATTCTCTGGCTTGCTGGTTGTGCTATTATGTACATTATTGCTAAGAACACCTTTGGACAGGTTTCTTGGGCCACAGGGGCAAGAGCTTCCCATAGGTGTACCTTAAAGATGGAATAACTACAGGGGCGCCTCGGCTCAGTCGGTTGGGTGTCCATCATCGGCTCAGGTCATGATCTCACGGTCTGTAAGTTCGAGCCCCATGTCAGGCTCTGTGCTGACTGCTCAGAGCCTGGAGCCTGCTTCCGATTCTGTGTCCCCCCTCTGTCTGCCTCACTCATGCTCTGTCTCACTCTGTCTCTCAAAAATAAATGTTAAAAAAAATTTTTTTAAGATGAAATAACTACATGAAATTTCAACACAAATTAATGCCAAAATGTTTTCTGAAAAGGAGGTGCCGATTTACCCTCTCCCCACCAGCACGTAAGTTTCCACTGGTATACAATATCCTCCCTCACACCCTGTTCTATCAAATGTGTTTTAATTTGCGAGTGTGGAGGGCTTAAAATGAAATCTCATTGCAGCTTCTGGTTTGCATTTCCTTGATTATTTTTATTTATTTTTTCAAATATTGGAAGTACATTTAATGTTTAAGTTAACATATTGGGAAGGTAGGAAATCAAAACAAGGTGGAAAGAACAAGAAACTACAGGCCTGACAAGCCATATGGAGAGTCAAGTGGAAAGTAAACAATTGAGAATACAATAAGCGCATTTAATATACAATATATGTGTAAACATTTTGTTTCAGTTTTAGTTAACATACAGTGCAATAGCGGTTTCTGGAGTAGAATTCAGTGATTCATCACTTACATACAACAACCAATGTTCATCACAAGTGCCCTCTTGAATCCCCATCACCCATCCAGCCCATCCTGCACCCACCTCCCTCCAGCAACCCTGTTTGTTCTCTATCATTAAGCGTTTCTTACGGCTTGTTTCCCTTTTTTTTCTTTTCCCCCTTCCTACATGAGTGAGATCATATGGTATTTGTCTTTCTCTGACTTATTTCACTTAGCATAATACACTCTAGCCCCATCCACAACATTGCAAGTGGTTTTCCTTATTAATGAAGTTGACCACTTTTTCACATATGAATGGATTATTTATATTTCACAGCCTCGGTGTCTTTGCCCATTTTTCTAACCGGCTGTCTCCTTGTTGCTTTGTAGGCCTTCCTATATTCTAGATTGTATTTTTTTTGCTTTGTAACCCTTATATATTCTAAGTTATATTTCAGTTATATGATTGCAAATATCTTCTCTCCAGTTTGTGACTTGTCATTTTGCTTTCTTTCCAGTGACTTTCTATAAACAAGTTATTTTTAAGTTAAATGTATCCCTCTTCTCTGTATTTACATTTTTGTTTAAAAGAGAAAATTTCTATGCCACCAGATCATAAAGACATTGTAGTATAGTTTCTTCCAAAATTTTTAACATTTTGCCTTTCACAAATGTCTTTAAATCACCAAGAATTGATCTTTGCGTAAGGTGTAGATATCTGATTTCATTTTCTTCTGCATGGATAACAAATCTCCCTGGCATAATTGAAACAATCTAGACCCACTGATCTATGCCACTTTTATCATTTTCTACATGTGCATGGTCTGTTTCTGGGCTCTCTTGGCTACACCACTGCCCTGTTTATTCCTGTATCCATAGAACAGTTTTTTATCACTATAGTTTTCATTTTAAAAAGGCTTGCCAACTGGCAGAGCAAGTCCCCCATCTCACTCTTCTTCAGAAGTATGTTGTGTGATCTTGGACCTTTGAGTATCAACGCATCTTTAGAGTCAACTTGTCCAGTTGCCCCCAAGAAACTGGGAATTTTTGTTTTGATCTGTAACATCCATGTGGGGGAGGGTTGAGATCTTTACATGATTGATGCTTACAATAAACATGATTTACCAATGTGTTTAGTCTTCTTTTAATGTATTTCAATCAAGTTTCATAATGTGCTCCACAGAGACCACACTCTTGGAAGACTCATTTTCTGATGCTCTTGTATATGGCATCTTCACTGCTGTTTGCAGCTGACTTTTGTAAACTGATCTTATTTCCAGCAACTTTTAATTACTCATCTACAGATTCTTTTCTTTCATGGTTTCTGTGTAATCACAGCATTTGTGACTTTCTTCCTTTCCACCTTAATACGTTTTCTTTCCTTCCCAACTATGCTTGCTAAAGCCTCAGTACAAACAACCTGTCAAAGAGAAGTAGTGATAAGACATCCTTGCCTTTTTCATTTTATGAAAAATGCTCTTCTAATTTCAAGTCTGTTTGAGGCACACCTTTGACACATATCCTTTGTTTTTATCTCCAAACCACGATGTCAATATTAGCATGTCATCAGGGAACTCCCTTTTTTCAGTGTGTCGCCTACTTATTGCTCGTTTCCATTTAGTTTAGAACCTGTCACTTGAAGAAGTCCCTTTCTTCCTGCAAGCCCAATGCTACAGATTGAACTGTGTCCACTCAACATTCACATATAGAAGTCTAATCCCCAATGTGACTACATTTTGAGATAGGGCCAGTAAGAAGATAAAGTGAACCCAGGCCATAAGGGTGGGGCCCTGACACAACTGCATTAGTGTCCTTATAGACACCAGAGAGTTCACGCTCTGCCAGCACAAATAGGAGGCCATGTGAGGACACGGTGAGATGGTAGCCACTTATAAGCCAGCAACATGGGCCTCCCAGGAAACCAACCATCCTGCACCCCGTTCTGAGACTTCTAGCCTCCAGAATCGCAAAACGTCTATTGTTTAAATCACCCACTCTGTGGTATTTTGTTATGGCGGCCCGAACTTAGATTCCCTAGAATGCAATAAAAACCATGTCATACTTAGGATCTGGTTATTTTGCAGTGGGACACCTCCTCACTCCAGATTAGCTAGTCTGCTATACTGCCAGGAGAAGCAGAAGGTCAGTACTTCTGTTCTTATTTACGTGCTACCTTAGTAAACAAGGGGCTGTTAACTAAGGGTCCTCATTTCAGGCTTCTGGCAAAATTAAACTATTTGATGAAAAAAAAGTTTGTATTTACCCTTTTTAAGGTATTTGCTAAGGATCCCTGTACATTTTATGTCCCAGTCCCTCCCCAAATTAAGAATGAGACCGAGGTTAAAAGTCTGAGAGACTGTGGCAGTGGAGGTGATATTTTACTTCTACCAGTAGTGAACGGTCTTAGAAGAGAAAGAACTGAAGTAATGAATTGTGTATACGGAGATAAAGAATGTGTGAATTGGTAAGAATTAGGTTTAAATGCAAAGCACAAATAAGTGGCTTAAACAAGGTAGAGATTTATTTGTGTCTCCCAAAGAAGTCCAGAGGTAGACTGTCCAGGACCGCGATGGTGGTTCCATGGTCATCACGGACTCCAGCCTCTTCCATCTTCCATCCTGCAGATAGTCTTGTGGTCTAAAATGGCTACTGGAGACTCTCAGCCATCATGTCCACATTTCAGACCAGAAAAAGCCAGGTGAGGGTCTGGAGAAGCACAAAGGATGAGCCTCCCAACAGAGCTAATCATTTAAGGGGCTTTCCTGGAAGCACCACCAAATGGCGTCTGCTTCTACCCCCTTAGCAACAGTTAACTGCAAAGGAGAACAGGAATGCAGTATTTCAGCCGTGCACACTGTCACCCCCAATAAAACATGGGCTCTGTAAATTAATGGGTTCTGTAGAAAGGATAATAATGGATATTGGGCAGTGTATTCATCATGTTTCTTATTTTCTGTATTTTATGATGCTTTGACATCCTGGAGGCTGGCAGACCTTGGGAGGAACTAAGTCCTTCCCAACATTAGCTAATTCCTGGAAATAGTAAACACTTGCCCAAGAGCATGTCTTTCATATGCAAACCAACCAATCCTGATTCCATACCTGCCATCAGCCTCCTTTTATCAGGCTCCTGCAGTCCAGAACACTGTTTCTCTGCTCAAAGGTACCAGACAACTAGAGACCCCCCGCCTTCGACCCGGAGCCTGGTGAAAATCATTGTCCCACGAAAATCACGATAAAAGCTTTAGGCCTGCCCTGGGGCTCCCCCGGTGGCTCTAGTGGTGTGGCATGTGCCCTCCTCTTGGCAACTTTTATAAACTCCTCTTTCAAGACAGTTTCTTTATGTCTGTCATCTTACCACACCGGATTAACACAAATCCCACCTACATTGTAAAATAGGTAAGCCCTGGAGACCTCTCCCACGATACGGTTTTCCACAGCAGAAAGCTGGAATCCTGGCAACATTTGTTATCTCACAAAATATGCTTAAAATGTGTTTGGCAGAAGAAAAAGAGTCCCTCGTCTCAACTTCTCTTCTGAGCTCCACTCGTTAATCATCAAATAGAAGCCAGGAAGTCTACAACTCAATTATGTTCAGAACTACTCCTGATCTTCCCTCTTCTCACACCTGTTCCCACGTTCATGTTTCTTAGTCTCAGAAACAAAACGTCACTATCCACACAGCTGCCCAAGCAGCTTCAGAATGATCTCTTCGTGGCCCTTCTCTTCCCACCAGCACCTACTGTCCCCAGGGTGTCCTGGACAGGAGTTCCATGCTCTCAGTATCCCTAACCTGGAGCGCAGCACGGGATCTGGCACATAACCGTTGCACAGTGAACGAACCGTGAACCCCAAACTCCCCACATGTCCCCTGTAATGCACACTCTGCTAACCTTTCGAGGCTCTTGCAGGAGCTTCCTGACGGCCTGCAAGCTTTCCCCACTTCTAACCCTTCACAGGCCTTCACTTTTCTCAAGCACAGTTCTGATACGTCCATTTCAAAACATGCAGCTCCCCACTGCCAAAGTCCTGTGTAAGCTTTCAAGGCTCTTTATGATCCAGCCCCAACCCCTTTTTCATGTTTTATCTTTCATGGATCCATATGCTTTTATGTTTCTGGACCTTTGTTCATGCTGTTTCCTCTGCTGAAAACCAATCTATAACTATTCTCATCTGTGTCCACAGGACTTTATTTCTACCATCAGTACACTACTCCTCACACCACAGCACGCTTTGTACACAGGCTCCTGCCTCTGTCCTCCCCATCCAGCCCCCATCATCCTAGATTGTGAGCCCCTTCAATGCAGTAATCCTGTTATATTTATCCCTATATCCAGGCCTGTATGCTTGCAAGGTTTAAAGCAGATGCCCAAGTGACTTTCAAGTTTAAAAAGATGCTCAGATTAACTGTAAATAGCCACGGAAGATTAAAAGCAAACCAAAAAACACTACTAAAGTGGACTATGTTCTCAGTAATCCACAGACATTAACAACAAGGAAGGTCAAGTACAATAAACTAATCTAAAGTTTACAGGCTCCCAGAAGTGTCCCGTGAGACTGGGGAGATGGGCATGGTGACTGAAAGGGATATGCCTTGTTGAAAGTAACTACAAACAACAGTAATAATGGCCAGTAGGCACTGAGCACTGGGTTCAGTTAGTATGTGCCAAGTAAGTTATATGTATTATTCATTGTGTTCCTCCCAGCAGGCTTATGAAGTAGGACTACTATCATCCCTGTTTTATTCACAGGAAAACAAAACGACAAAAAATCCGAGGCAGGGAAAGTTAAGAAACTCAGCAGAGGTCACTCAGGTGGTAAGTGAAGCAAATCCAGGCTGTGCGACTAACACGACTATTAAGTTAAACCACCTTTTCAAAGGACAGGTGCGGCAGGAAAACTGCAAAATGTTAAGGTGTAGACCTGTATGGACAAACACCACCCTGAGGTCCAAAGCAAACGGATGAAGAGTACAGACAAAAAAGAGAAATTTCATTATTGTGTCTGCATGACTTGGGACAACCTAAAAAGCTACACACCATCCTATCACAGACTGTGGGAACAGCACAGGGACATATACAGTAGTGAGAGGGGGGTATAACGCCGTTGACGCCTGCCAACAGTCTCATTCTCTAAAAAGTGAGCCTGTCAAATTCTTGCACAATCTTGCTGACAGTTTCAACTCTCAGTAGGAAGGAAACAATCAGAAGGAACAATGAAAGGAGGAGACGCCATAACCTATTTTAACCAGTAAAGAAACATGGCTTGATAACAAGGGATCAAGAGGAATCAGTAAAGATAACCTAGCAGAAAAATTAACTGTGATCTATTTCCTATAGGATCATCAGACTGAAAATGAGAAAGAATAAAGAGGTGGTGGTATTTCTCCCTAATTCTACCCCAGCCAAAACCTATGATGTACTGGAACTCCCAGGGTGACTTAGACACACCCTGCAGGGCTAAAAGTTAGCAGTGGGGGTTCTGGATAGTTGGGCCAGTGGAGGTGGGACGCAGTGGGAAGCAGACTGTAGGCAGAGAACAAAATGCAAACTTCACATACCTAAACTCAAACTCCAGCTGTGCCTCTTATAAGCTGCATGACTTTGACATTTACTTAACCACGCAGTTTCAGGTTTCCTCACCTGCAAAATCAGGATAATACCACCTTCTTAGGGTAATAGTGAAATGAGACAATGATAAAAAGCACTGAGCTCAGGGCCTGGCACCTAGTATATACACAAAAAGGTCAGCCTTCAGTATGGTAACTGTTTTCCCTAAGAGATTTCTCTGTAACTCACGAAGTTTTCTAGAATGATTTGCTTGCTGTTACTCCCACCAAGCTTCACAGCACTTAATGCAAACCCTGACAGAAAAATAAGTAAAGTGAGCCTGCCTTCATTTTCATGTCAATGTTTTGGTGCAATCCAACCAAACATTTTGAAAGCCCTATAATGTCACTTTGCTAGGCTAAGCTGGACGGGGACAAACGGGTAGTCTGAGTAAAAGATAACCCCACCTTCAAGAACTGCACAATCTCTTTGGGGAACAAAGGGAAACCACCAATAATTCCTCCTGAGCTGCAAAGGTTAGGCTGCAACCCAGTTGGCAATGACAAGAAATCCCCAAAACAGCCACAAAAACATGTCTTTGGTATTTCTGGATGTCTCTGGATTAACTGCCCAGTCGTTTTTAAGAAATGAATGACTCTGAAAACTACTGACAGCAAACAGTGGATCTCATACGGGTTGGTCTTTAAAGTCAATTGTTGTAGGTTATACACGTATTAAGAGGAAAAGAAAAGAAAAAGAAGGGAAAAAAAGGTAAGTGAAGTATCTGAGCATGCACTACAAAGATGCCGACAATGGAGGGAAATACATGAAAGATATCTTGTTCGCCTCTAGGACAGGAAGCAGTAAGTACTAAATGAAGGTCAATCAGCAGTCCAGCCTGACTTGGAAATAACGGAAAGATTTTTGTTTTCCAAAAGTGAAAACAGTTTATTTGGTTTTTATTGTCAAAAGTAATATAAGCTCAAGGCTAAAAAAACAGTAATAATAATAAGGAAACTCACACATAATCCCCCCATCCAGAGATCATCACAACCTTTTGATGTTTCTCCTCCCAGACTTTTACTAAACATATATTCATACCTATTACTTCTTTTTCAAAAATGGGAGAGTACCACACGTGTGCTACCTTCTCTCCCACACCTCCGTGTATCCTACTCATCTTCCCACCCGACATGGAATCCCAAAATCAAAGTCACACGGCAGTTTTCCACAGGAATATTCCCTGACACCGTGAAAAGATGACAAAGGGAATGCAAGACACAAAACGTGGGGCTACAAGACCCTGACCGACTGTTAAAGCTACCAGGTTCCACACATCTACTCCGAGACCAGCTTGGGAGAGGTGCAGAGTTCTCAGCACCCAGGGCTGCCCGAGGAAGGGAAGGGCAGAGTCCATGCTCTGGGAGCTGCCCAGTTGCAGACCTCACATCTGCACCATCAGCCTCATGGCCGAGGCCTCTGCACCGAACACCCGCCTCTGAAGGCCCTGCTGCCCAACCTCAGAGCCTTCCAGGCAACCTGCAGCGGGAGGGCGGCGACGCCTTCGGCTCACAGGGATCCGGCGGGGCGCACCTTTCTGCCCCTGCGCCCTGGACTCAGAGCTGCTCTGGGCTGGTCACTGAATTGGTCTGTTCACCTATTACCTTCCCAAAGCACAGATTCATCACACTATTTAAACAGGTATACTAATCTGCAGAACTTCTCACAACTTTTAAGGAGTATAAAAGCAGCTTTTGCTAACGAAGAGTTGCCCAAAGATCAATTTTATCTACATTTTCCTTAAGGAATGTGGCATAAAGAAGTGAGGGCTACATCACCAGACAGTTTTAACGTATAAACTCACAAAGCAGAGTTCATGTACTGATTAATGGTCCCAGCTGCAGGAAAAAAGACGGCTGATATGAGGAAACGGCAATTCCTTTTCTACTGTTCCTGGACAAGAAGAGAGAAAAGCTGAAGAATTCCATCTTTACCCTGACCCAACTGTACCATAAGTGCAAAAAGGGGCTCAGGTGAGGGTCCATAAGGCAGCATGTAAACCGGGAACCCGTGACAGTCCAGCATGACCTAAACCACAGTCAGCACCCTGCTCTCGGGCACAGGGGACAAGACATGTAGTCTAGGGCACCAAAAAACAGGCTGGGCTGGAGGCAAAGCTGGAGCCTGAGTGGCCGAGACAGAATGAGGGACTGCTACAACTTGAACTGGACAACCAGCTCGACAGTGGCCAATTCTAAACAGGCACAGCCAGCTAGCAGACCTGTGGAGGTCTGATGCAAACCTAAAAAGTACAAGAGGCACTGAAAAACAGACTTTACTTTATGTAATACTTATTAGGAAATTACTAGTACTCTGTAATTTCCAGAATCTCATAATGAAAGTAATCGTGTGTACACAATGATCTTTGTATGTGCATCAAGAGACCAGGTGGAAAAATAAAAGGAAAATGTCACACCTCAGGCTCTAACCTACAGAGGCAATGTCAAAGGTTTTTTAGGGGACTCCCCCAAGCTCTGGGTGAGACTAAAAGGATAGAGAATGGGGCTTAGAAAGACAGAAACTAGTGGAACCAGAGCCCCTGTGGCATCACCTGGAAATGAACTAGTTCATCCCTACTTATATTTTGGGTCTCTACTATTGATAAACTCTATTTCATAAGTGCTACTAGTGAAATCTGTCCAAAAACAAAAGATGTGAAGAAAGTCGGTTAGTCTTAAAGCTAGGTTTAGGTTAGATACCAACCCCTCTTCAGCAACCCCCTTCAGTTTGGGCTGAAGCTTAATATCCCATTGGGATCATTCATCTGTCAACATTTATCGAGTACCTATTCTGTGCCAAGCACTGGTTAAGGTGCAGGAAACAAAAAACATACAGTCCTCGCCATTTAGTTTATAAACAGTAAGAAAATCATTATTCACAACCATGGGATAAAGGCCTGACATAGAATATTTAGTGGCTGGATCAGTACTATAATACAAGCGTGTATAAAAAGCAAGAGGCCATCCCAAAGGACACCTATCCTTTTGCCATAACATAGATGAACCCGAGTTCATCTGTTTTATACTCTTGTACACAGAAACCATCCCTAAAAGAATAAACAATTAGCTACCAAGGTTTATGAGACAAGGGGGAGGAACAGTCAAAAGTATTATTACTCATTTTATATAAAAGAATATTTTAATTCTTGTCCTTAGGAACTATAAAGACTATACGTGATTTGGAAATGAGACCGTACCAAACAATGGCCAAAGAAGAATCGTCCACTCTATGCCTTTTCTTTGGTCTGGTCACTCAGAAATATAATATTATCTGTAAAGAAGCCAAAGCAGAAGTATTATTTTCAGAACTCTTTCTCCATCTCAATTAATCACTCCTCTATAATACACACAAACTTAAATGCTGTTAACTAAAGGACTTGAGAAAAATTCCCAAAATGTGAAGTAGCTCCTGCTGTGTTCATTAGCGGCATAAACAACAGGGAAAATGGAGCTAAAAGCTGGGCTTCAGCTATTTTTCAACAACTCAGACCTTGTCGGGAGACGTGTGATAGTTCCTGTCTTCCCTGAACACAGTTATAACCGCCTGGCAGTAACTTGCTACAAAAGAACTAGTCACCGATTTCAAAGTTTGCAATGCTCTGATCGATGCCATGATACCAGGCAGCACATCCACACACACAAGAGGGCCAAGGCACAATGCTACACATGCTGGAGGTAGAGAGAGGACAAGGTCCAACGTATGGCCTGTTAGCAAACACAGATTTATTGATTTTTTTAAGTAGGCTGCATCATTCACACAGAAGACATTCTAGTTTTAAATTTTAAAACACCCTGATTTTTATATACTCATTCTTGGGAAAACTTTTACTACTCCATATCACAGAGAGAGCATTCTCATACAAGAACATCAGACATTGCACTTAAAACGCTGTCCCAGACAGAGTTAGTTCAGGACAGGCAAAGGAAAAGTAGTAATACTTCCTGTATAACTTGAAAAGATCTAGATACTCGTAACTTTAAGATTACTTAAAAAGTGGCTATTACATGACAGTATTTATGACTAGTCTTCTAAAAATAGAATATTTTGGTAAAGAACGGTTATTTCAGAAGAGATTAGAACAGACACCACAGCGTAAAATGGCAAGAGTGCCATCCACTGGTGATTAAGTTCTAGACATGGATCCCTAGGAGGAAAAAACATGACCTACAAAACCAAGCAACCAAATTTAAACTCTATTTCTTTCAATTCAAATGTTACTAAACATCTATTCATTTTTACTACTAGCCATAAATCCACTTTAAAAGCTCAATCAACTCACCCATGCGGTGAATACTAGTTACAAGAAGAAAACAAAATGGCAGATAATCTGAACTGTTTCTACTGAGTAGCTGGTTTGGTTCAGAATAATTCACACAGTCCAAAGTTTACCCACACTTTTGGTTTACAACAGAGTATGAAAGTATTAAATAAACACATAATTGATAAAATAAACACAAAATTGATAAAAAATTCAATTCAATTCTTTTATTCAATTATTTTACTAGAAAGTTTGGTTTGGGGGATCCTGGGTGGCTCAGCTGGTTAATTAAGCATCTGAGTCTTGATCCCATCTCAAGGTCTTGAACTCAGGATTGTGAGTTCAAACCTGTGAGTACAAGCCTCCATGCCCAGTGTGGAGAACGAAGGAAGAAAGGAAGGAAAGAAAAGAAAGAAAAAAAAAGTAAAGAAAAGAAAAAGAATGAGAAAGAAAGAAAGAAAAAAGGAAGGAAGGAAGGAAACAAGGAAGGAAAGAAAGTTTGGTTTTCCACGTTTCCACATAAAAGTCTATTACTTTTTTTATTGTTATTTTTTGAGAGAGAGAGAGAGAATGCACATGCATGTGCAAGCAGGGGAGGTGCAGAGGGAGAAGGGAGAGAATCTTAAGCAGACTCGAAGCTTAGCGGGAAGCCCAACACGGGTTTCAATCTCGCAACCCTAAGATCATGACCTGAGCCAAAATCAAGAGTCGGACACTTAACTAAGCCCCCCAGGCACCCCCAGAAAAAAATTTTGAACAGGTAGGTATCTCTGGAGACATGGCTCAAGGAAGACTAGGGCATCCAGAAATGAAATACTGTCAAGACACTCAAGAAATTATGGAAGCAAAATGGTCACAAAGGACCTCATCTAAGGTCTGATTAGGGTACAAAGATAATTATATTGGTTTTCAAGGTCAATACACATTCAAAGAAACCAGTAAGAGAATATATTTTTTGACTATTATTTACAACAAATTAGAACTTATCAATATGGTTAAGACATGAACTCTGGAGCAAAGTAAAAGAGAACGATAAAAGGAAAATCTGCCAATTAAAAGAGACTTAAGTTCTCAAGAGTTCTCGCCTCCAGAATTATGAGAAAATAAATTTGCTGCTTAAAAAAAATAAGAAAGAGACTCAAGATATAAGCCATGTAATACAGTGTATGGACTCGTATTTATTAAGCAATCAAAAAAATTTAAACATTGTGATGTCTGGTAAAAATATTTAAATAATTTCTTAATATTAGGTGTGATAACAGCATAGTAGTTATGCCTTAAATAGGAATCCATATCTTTCAGATATACCTATTGAAAACACTTATGGATGAAATAATATAATGTCTGAGATTCACTTCAATATAATCCAAGTGTAGGGGCGCCTGGGTGGCTCAGTCGGTTAAGCGTCCGACTTCGGCTCAGGTCATGATCTCGCGGTCCGTGGGTTCAAGCCCCGCATCGGGCTCTGTGCTGACAGCTCAGAGCCTGGAGCCTGTTTCAGATTCTGTGTCTCCCTCTTTCTCTGACCCTCCCCTGTTCATGCTCGCTCTCTGTCTCAAAAATAAATAAATGTTAAAAAAAATTTTAATAAAAAAAAATAATAATAATCCAAGTGGAGGAAAAGTGGGTTGGGGCTATAGAAGAAATCACACTTGCCATCAGTTGGTAACTGTTGAAGCCAAATGATACATTTCCTTTTTTTTACTTTTCTATATTTGTGTATGTTTGACGTTTTCCATAATTTAAAAAAATCAATTTTTAAAGGATGTCTAACATTGGCGTATCTCAAAAGTTCATAAACACTGAGACATTACTTTCTTTCATTCCCATCTACTTATTAAAAAAAAAAAATTAGGTTTCTCAGTATTTACATCCATAAAAACAAACAAAAGAACAAAATTAACATTTAACAACTGTCTTATTAATTTTTCCAAGAGGTTAAAAAAAAAAAAGAACCATCTTCCTCATTAAAAAGTGTATTTTTAATAAAATTTCAGTTTTCATATTTATATATTAAAATTGTTTTGGTCACATATGTTCTAAAAACAACTATAATGACAACCCAATCAAAAAATATGTAACATTTAGAGCCTTAATATCACATAACTTTTTTAATGTTTTAAAATTTCTATTTAGGTATGTATTTTTGTTACAAACATAATACGATGAATAATAAAAAGTTCTGAATTGTACAATATATGTTAAAATACCTTTCTTAGGAGAAAATGGAAAAACAAGTTCGGAGAACAAGAAATAACAAAATTTCCAAATGCTTAAGAGCTTGTTGAATTTTTTTAAAAAAATGATGAGTATCAAACTGCTATGGTATTTACAGCCACTGATACATTTCAGGGTAACAACTTCTTATTGAAAAAAGATTTTTACGTCAACTTAAGTATGTCCAAAAGAACTATATCTTTTCAAACTTCTTGTAGAATTTTCAAAACAGTTTGAAAACTCTGCTCTAGGAGATATCTTCTTTTTTTTTTCTTTTTAATGTTTTGATTTATTTTTGAGAGACAGAGCACAAGAGCATGAGCAGGGGACGGGCATGGAGAGATGAGGACAGAGGATCGGAAGTGGGTTCCGCTGACAGCAGAAGAGCCCAACGCAGGGCTAGAACTCATGAACCATGAGATCATGACCCAAGCCAAAGTTGGACACCCAACCGACTGAGCCACCCAGGCGCCCCTAGGAGGTATCTTCTTAATCTTTAAGCTTTGTGTGTCCATGTTTCCTACATTGTTTGCATTTTCTTAGGAACTTAAAAATCATCATGTTCTGGGGTGCCAGGGTGGCTCAGTCACTGAAGCATCCGACTTCAGCTCAGGTCATGATTCACGGTTCACGAGTTCGAGCCCCGCATTGGGCTATGCGCTGACAGCTCAGAGCCTAGAGCCTGCTTTGGATTCTGTGTCTCCCTTCCTCTCTCTGTCCCTCCCCCATTCACATTTTGTCTCTCCGTCTCTCTTTCAAAAATAAACATTAAAAAAAAATTTTTTTTTAAATCATCATGTCCAGCACCGAGCAGGTTCTCAATAAATCTGCACAAATGTCTAATGCCCCTCACGGCGGTGTAACTTTACCTTGGCACAGGCTTCTGCCTGTTTAGGCCATGTCCTCAGACACTAAAGTTTTTTTTACTTCAAACAGTAAGGACCAACAGACACTCTACTCAAAAGTTACTTGTGAAATGAAAGTGAGCACAGAGAATTTTCTGAAGGAACTGTAGAAACCATAGCAAATCCCTGAGCCACACTCGCAATTCTCACGGTGAGTTGCCTGACCATCTCAGCATCTGTACCCAAAGTCCCTGTTAAAGTTACTTATAAGAAGCCAAGCTTTTTATAAGGGAAGAGAGAGGAGGGAACAGCTGTTACCACAAGCTTCTTACCAGCTATGATTGTTGTTGCCTGTCGCCTCACATTGTTTTTATCTGTGTATTCACCATAGTCGACTTTCCCTTCCACATAGATACGGGACCTGATAAAAATAAAATTCACTTTTCAGTCCGGAGATTCTAATCTGTTTGAAAAGAGAGTCAGGTGAGAGCAGGAACAAGTACACACTGAGGATGAATACAGAACCAACATCTTGACTCTTGATTTTGGCTCAGGTCATGATCCCAGGATTGTGGGATCAAGCCCCACGTTGGGCTCCTCGTTGAGCATGCAGCCTACTTGAGATTCTCTCTCCCTCTGCCCCTCCCCTGCTTGAGCGTGCATGTGCACACAAGCTCTCGCTCTCCCCCTTAAAAAAAATTTTTTTTAAAAGACCATGAAATGGAAGAGCAACATAGTGGCATCCTTTAAATCTCTGGGACTGACTTCCAATCTGCCATTTTTCTTCACCTTTTATTTTTGACCCCCTAACAGATTTGTTGATTTTCACTTATTTTTCAGTTCCTTTCCATAGTCACGTTCATGAATTTATTTTCCAGGGACTTAGATTATTAAAATTCAAAACAGAGGTTTTGGTGTAGTATTTCACTTAGGCTTAATCACTAAGACCATTTCTGCATTGTTTAGAAGGCTGAACTAGAAGACAACCATAACTCTGATTTTAAAGGATAGAAAATGCATGCTAGCATTTATTTTCAGTCTACCCTTACCAAAAAAGCATAATATAGGAGACAAAACTGGTAAAGTGATCGGGTGTCGAATATACACATAAACCGCAAACAGATATTTTCCTTGAAATTTCCTGTATTTATACGTATGTGTAGATGCACAAATTTATACATACATATATAAAGGACTAAGAAAGTAAACAGAAAAAAAGGAACACAGTTTATTGAAAAGAAACAGAAATTTTAGTTATTCCTGAAATTGTTTTCCATGAAATCTATTTTACTTCTATAAAACTAGCACATTTCTAAATACATTAACTATGAATACAACTGCTGTTCAACATACGCTTTTGTCTTTCCACGGGTTTGGAAATGACACGTTTTATCTATACACTAAGCATTCCAAAAGGGAGCCAAACTAAAATTACCAAATATAAAACAACAGCTGTGAACACTGCCATAATACCTCACCTGTGCCAGGCTACACACACATTCCAGATCCTGTACTAAGGACTCCATGCAGATGCCAAGAGGCAAGACACCCGCCGTGGGGATCCCTGGCTGCAGTGGCATAGGAACTCCTAACAGCATGGGTTGCACCTGCTCATACGGTGCTCAGTACACTTTGCCTTCTCTCTTGCCTCATCTGCTTCTGTTTATGTATACCTGTTATTTGGCCTAAATTATAAATTCTTAGCAAGCAAAACCATGTTCTATACATCTCTGAATTAGACACACGGCGACACACCGTGCACATAACACTAAGCTCTGAATAAGTATCGAGTTAACACAGAGTTATTAGAATAAAGGAGGTAGGCATTCCCTGAGAACACCTGTTACCAGTTTTTTTAAACCATTCAATCTGTAAGATCCTTCTTTCTCAACTTACCCCTTTTTCACATACTGATACGCCACATCTCTGAGGCCTGGTCGGAATACTGATATTCTGTGCCATGTCGTCTTTTGACTGACATCACCTAAATCTCAAGAATAGAAAATGTGGTTATAAACACCAGCAGACCAAACCAATGCCAAAAGACAACATGCCCAGCAAAACCAACGTCACAATTTCGAAGAGAAAAGCACAGAATCAGAGAAGATTCTTTCTAAAAGCACCTCATATCTAATTAGCTGAGAATAATGTCTATTTATTGCTGATACAATTAAAACCCCAGTCTGTACACTCACCCATTTGGTATACTTCACTCTCCCCTGACCGCCACATCTCATTCGTTGCTAGAGAAAATATTGTGACCGGGTTCTTCCCTTCCACCTGTCTCATGACGGGGTCCTGACCCACTCGCCCAAGGAGCTGCACACGGTTCAGAGCTGAAACAACGTGTAAATAAAAGGAGCTTGACAGAAAGGTACAGAAGAGGAACAGCTACAAATATTACTTCAATTTCAATCTCAGCATTGAGCAAAACCCAAGTTCTACACGTTCAGAAGGTAAGTTGAAGAGACAAATAAAGGCCGTATGGGAGAGAAAAGAGGATTGGCAAGAAAGGAGAAAATATTCTTTGAAAAAGTAGCCCACAAACAAACACTAAGTTCTTTACTTTACCTTAAATTCTTTGAAATACCTTTTTTTAAAAAAAAAAAAACCATAAGATTAAAAAAACAAATCTGAGATCTGAAAATCTTTATAAATACACAGGACTACTCCATGAAAGAAGAGCTTTCACAAAGTTTCACTCTCTCAGCCAAATAGCACATGACCTTGGAAGAATTAGATAACCAGATAGGACTCAAGGAGATTCTAGAAGGCCCCTGCAGCCTGATGGGGCAAGGCCAAGAGTGGAGAGCCCAAAAGGAGCCAAAGTCATGACGATTACCTGCGTATAATGCAACCAGTGCACCTCTTCTACCACACATTTAAGAACAAACAACATACTTTAAACTTGGAAATTAGCCACTACTTACATCTTTCAAGAACCAAGCTGCTGGCTATTTCAGACTCACGTCTTACAAACTGATGAAACACCTAAAGGAGAATAAATCAGTGAAATGGTTTTAATTCGGGGGGAAAGGTAAACCCAAACAGAAGACCTGCTCACACTCAGTCACCATTTGGTTGGCAGGTCCTACAGCATTCACGCCCAGAACACAAGCAGTGCCCTTCACTGTCCCCCCACCACAGTGCCAGGAGGACCATGCAAATGCTTGAGGGCCATCTACTACAGAAGCCCAAAGGTACACAGAGCCAGACGGCATGCCCAGGAAAGCTAATTTAGAATCCTCTCCTGGTTCTTTCGTGGTAACCCTCCTGATTATGGTGCTTCCATAGTTGTGCAAAAAAAGGTCAAATCATATATATGCTGGAAAAATTCATGCTTTTGATAGACCAAAGAGAAAAGTCTAAGACAAATCTGATTCTCTGATAAGGTACAAAATAGGACTATTCAAGTCAGTCTGTCAGAGGAAGGCAGTAACTGACACAAACTGGTGGCGGCATTCAATGATCTTGCAGCTATCACTACTGAAGACCAGCTAAGTGCTTTACCTCTTACAAATTAATCCTCAGAATAAATGCATACACTGTGTAAAATTATCCCTACTTTGGAGATGAAAAAAATGAAACTTAGGGAGATTAAGTAAAGTGCCCAAAATCCTACAGGAAGTAACTGGCAAGTCATGCCGGGAACCCAGGGCCATCCAACACCAAGGCTGCCACTGTTCCCGCCGCCTTCTGCTGCCTCCTTAAGGACATTCTGTTCAAGGGCTACTGCCATGGTAGGAGCACAGGTCACCAGGCACATTGCTGATTTCAACGTTCAGAGAGCTAACCATTACATCAGAGAAACAGGTATCATATGGTAGCACTTTTAATATAAAAAGCAAACATCCACCAACCAAATGAACAGCCATTCCTGGAATACTGTTGACTATGGAATCCTACCACTGTGTTTTGGAGCGGCAGGTGGTTAAGAAATAAAGATGGAGTTATAACACGGCAAAGACTCAAGCAAACTAGTACTTGTGTCATACTTCTAGAATTGTACCAATTTAAGTACTGAGGTGAGCCAGAGCTCCTAAGTCTTATAGGATAATATGTCTCATTTTGGGCAAACGAAAATTAAGACCTACTAGAAAAACAGAAATAGGTAAAGAATTAACTGGGATAATTTTTAAAATTAAATTCTTAACTTTTACATCTAGCTTGAAAGATTTCTTAAAGCATTAAGACAGTCGTTAACTTTTCTGTTTCACGTTTACACACACACACACACGCAAAACGTTAAAAGTCTGTATAGGTTAAAGTGAGGATCCAAGAATACAGAGTTAATTCTATAGTAGAGGGAGGGAGATGAGAACAGGTTTCACAGAGGAACAGCTTCTTCATTAGTCTTAACAGGATGGGAAGTAAGAGGTGTTATAAAGAATCTACAGGGGCACCTGGGTGGCTCAGTCAGTTAAGCGGCCGACTTCAGCTCAGGTCATGATCTCGTGGTCCTGAGTTCAAGCCCCGCGTCAGGCTCTGGGCTGACGGCTCGGAGCCTGGAGCCTGTTTCAGATTCTGTGTCTCCCTCTCTC